GAGGGAGGGAGGGAGGGAGGGAGGAAAGGAGGGAAGCAAGGAGGGAGGGAGGCAGGGAGAGAGGGAGGAAGGGAAGGAGGGAGGGAGGCAGGGAGAGAGGGAGGGAGGGAAGGAGGGAGGGAGGGAAAGAGGGAGGGAGGCAGGGAGAGAGGGAGGATAAAGAAGGAAGAACAAGGGCAGAGGGAAGAAGAAAGGAAGGAAAGGAGGGAAAGAGTGGGGTGGGACTCTGTCAGGGCCTGTGACCATACCGCAGCCCCGTCTGCCACCTTGGAGCTTACATTGTGCACTCCTGGAACGCAAAGCTGACCATCTCCTAGTCCACTTCAGACATTCCTTACTTCACTTCCCAAGGCCTTCCAAGACATCGGTCCTCCCAGAGCAGTTCAACCCCCAGGAACCGCCCCTGCTGCCGAACCTTAACACCACTAGGTGTTGCTACCCACTTGCGACCTCAGACAAGTCCCAAGTGAGCCCCAAACCATGTCTCGACCCGAGCCATCTGTTGTCCTTTCCTTGATCAGCTCTCAGGTGACCCTGGATGTCTGTCAGCCTCCATGATGGCTCTGAGCTCCTCTAACGGTGCTGTGACTCTCTCATCAGTCCCCCTTTCTGACCCAGGAAAAGAATCTGTAGCCACAGCCCCCACTCCAGGCCTTGCCTGTTCCAGGATGACATCTGCATCTGCCCTTTGCCTACAAAGCTCCCCGGATCCTGACCTTGGCCTGGTCTTGTCCCCAAAACTCAGCAGTCCTTTACTCTCCACCCCTTCTCACCTGCAGTCCCCTGACACCTGCACCACCTCCCATCTGAGATCTAATAATTCTCCACAAAAACATGATCCCGTAAACCAAAAGGCCATCGGAGCGGAAACTCACCGGTAAATGCCCAAGGAGAGGCGTGATACTGTCAGAGACATAGATGATGCTGCCGTCTGTTGTCACTGCGATAATGAAGCCATCTAATGCCTGTGGAAAATGCAACATTTGAAAGCTCCTTAGCGATACTTTTATGGAGGAGCATGTCACTGAAGCAGCGGACACCATTTGATGACACTGGCTTTGTTTTATAATCCTCAGAATATTTCCATGAATAACCTCACGACACTTCTTGGCCTTCCACGGAGGATAGCTTCTCACAGAGAATGTGTCTGGCCCAGGAAAAGCGTTTGCAAAAGCACTACAGGCTCAGTGAAAAATGTGACCTAGTGGCATGATAAAATAACATTTAGCCATGGAAATTCCCTAAGTAGGTTTAATGATAAGCACATTATTAGCCTGATTCAGAAATACCACCACTGCCGTTAAAAAACATCAGCCATAGTTTATGGTTCCCATCTCCCTACCCCTGCCATCACTTTGAGTTCAATGGTAAACATTTGCCCTGATAAAGATATCAGACCTAATAGATGCATTAAAAACAGAAAGCGTGCCTGCTGACCAAGGTAGGCCTCTGCTCACTTTCGCTGCCACAGAGAAGGGCCCACTTTGGGACTGTTTGTAAAGAACATTCACGTTATTCTACAGGGCTGGGTGGTTGTGAGGATTACGTAACTGAACCGGATCCAGAAGCATTTCAGAATCTCTGAAAAATGCATGCATTTGAAAGTCTCTACTGAGTGCCCACTCTATGCTGGGAACACTGTTCTGGGTGCTTGTGATGTAACAGGTTGAAGGTGGGCAATGCTTTCTCATAAAGCCAACACTGTAGCTATTTCTTTTTTCCTTTGAGACGGAGTCTCACTGTTGCCCAGGCTGGAGTGCAGTGGTGTGATCTCAGCTCACTGCAGCCTCTGCCTCCCAGGTTCCAGCAATTCTCCTGCCTCAGCCTCCTGAGTAGCTGAGATTACAGGTGCATGCCACCATGCCCTGCTAATTTTTTTATTCTTAGTAGAGACAGGGTTTCGCCATGTTGGCCAGTATGGTTTCGAACTTCTGACCTCAAGTGATCCACCTGCTTCACCCTCCCAAAGTGCTGGGACCCAGGACAATGTGCCTAGAATACAGTAGGCACTCAGTAGAGACTTTCAAATGCATTAATTTTTCAGACATTCTGAAATGCTTATGGATCCGGTTGAGTTACGCAACCCCCACACCCACCCAGCCTTGTAGAATAATGTGAATGTTCTTTACAAACAGTCCCAAAGTGGTGCCCAACCACTTTTGGTGGTTTTAGATTATTTATTGAGATTTATTTTTGTGTGGATGCTTGTAATGCTTTCATAAGATGTATCTGAAAGCTGGTTTCTAAAATAAAGACCACATAATTCAGCAGACAATAGGATCACGGTGGGAACTGGCTGCCTAGGGTGTGCCAGTGATGGGGAGGAGATTAGAAATGAAGCCTACCTCATCAGAAAGCAAGTCTTTAAGGAAACAGTAGCTCAAGTAGACTTTCACTGGAAACCTGTCACTGTCGATTCACTGACTTTTTCTTTGAAAGACTATCTTCCCAAAATCTGGAAATTTTTCTGCTTTGCAAAAAAAGTGAAATATGTGCTTAGAAAGCTCTGGAAACATGTTGCATGCACTCAACTAGATGGTCACATGATGTCTGAGAATCTTTATGGACAAAAGGACAAAAGGGTGTTCATTCTTTCACATTAGGAGGGTGTGGCTAAAGTGCTTGGCAGTGGGAACCTGAAAGAGGCCACTGGCGGTGTGTGAAGGGCGCCTTTATAACATGCCAAAATGGGAAAGAGTTTTCACTAGGAAAATTAACACTAGACTCATTTATTATTTTACACTGACATCTGGCAGGATTTAACTAAAAAACAGATTCAAGTACATTTCTTAAATGGACCTCATCCTCTTGGATGACATCAATGGTTCTCAGCTGGGGGCAATTTTGGTAACGTCTGGAGGCATTTTTGGTTGTCACCACCGAAGTGGATGGTGCTGGCATCTGGCGCTGCAAAACGTCCTGTAATACACAGGACAGCCCCCACGATGAAGAACTACCAGGTCCAAAATGTCCATGGTGAAAAGCTGAGAAACACTGGGTAAGATTTATGAGTTATGGTGAAAAAAGAACATCCCAGTAATTTTTCTTTTCCAAGTATTTTTCTGAAAAATGTTTAAAGTCATCTTTGCAGCCCTCCAGGAGGTGAATTTTTTTAAGGGGTAAGGGCACTGTTGACGACATCAGCGAGACTTTTCTGGTAAAAAGCAGATTGGAAGGCTGGGAAAAGCAAGAGCAGTACAAATGGTCTTGCGCAGTGGGCCCATGTCCCTTCTGAATATCTAAAGCAAGTGGGTGTTAAAAAGCTGAAGGTATTTATAGACGGAAGATAACTTTCATCAGCTCATTGGCATTTCCATCAACTCTATGAGAACTGCACTGAGTCACTGCTTTAAGAAAGCTTGCTATGGTTTTGGAAGTCCCATCAGTAGCATCTGAAAGTGATTCAACAGAAAGTGACCGCAAAGTGCTGTGACCCTATCCATGAAAGAGTGATTTTGACTGGGGTGTTTCCAAAGTGCCATAATGGCCCAGAATTTTAGACCTGCCACACATTAGAGGGAAATGAAACCTCCCCTTTCTACTAATTCCTGAATCTGATGGAACATTTCTTGTGTTCTCTGGGACAACCTCTGAGCTAAGAGATTGCTTTTCTGATTAAAATTCAGAAATTCCACAAGCTCCCTAATCCCTGGTCCTCAAGCACTTTGTCTCCTTTTGAGCGCAATTGTTCCAATGCTGGTAGCCACGGTCTTTGCCAGCTGACACTTTACCAGCTTGGCTGGTCTGCAGCCAGGTCAGTTTTGTTTTTTCAAACTTCACAGCTATGTGAGTCCTCCTGGAGTCTGGTTTTGTGCCTTTTTGGGAGAAGAGGGAAGACGGGAGTCATGTCTGGAGGCCATTAGCAGTTCCCTAGGGATATGATGGGTTCTCTCCTGGGCTCTGTCCTCATTTCAAAAAGAGAACATCCTGGCCACTAAGACACGGCACCTGGATTCTTTATAGTCTCTGAAATGGCTCTGAAAAAAGCAGAGGGATGTGCAGCTGGAGAGGGACCCGTGCTATGGGGAGGTTGCACTGGACAAAGATGACATCACCCTGGGAACTCCCCAATTCCCCCAACCACCGCTGGGGCATAGGCCATCAGGAAGAGATGCTGGAAGGCTCCAGTCACTCAGCACTAGGTCTGTGTCTATTGAAGAGCAACAGGTTGGAAGAGAAACCTAACACAGTCAGGGTCAAAAGTACTAGTTGGTGGACTTCCCAGACCACTTACAGCTGCCATTCACTCAGAAGGACTGCTGGTTGTGCAGGCTTAATTTCAGATCCAACTCATTCATCTAACGTGATTTCCTTTCCATCAGCTTCTAGGAGTCTATCCCAGGAGCAAGGGAACGTGCATAAGGACTATACAAATATAAAATCTTCCTTGTCTAGAAATTTCAGTCTCCTGAATCTCAGTCCTGCCTTATAGCCCTGAAATTTATTCATTTTAACTTTACAAAAGCCCTATTTCCTTAAGTACTTTTGGTAGCTTTGAAACTCACTGGGAAAAAGGGCTGTGCTACAGGCTCTTAAAAAAAGGCTGCTGCTATAGGGTTATGTGTTTTAACTACTTTTCCATAAGAATTAAAAGATAAATCAATTTATGTAAATTAGCATAATGATACATTAATTCAACATTTCACAAGCTGCTTTAAATTTAACATACTTAAAAATGCATTGCTTCTGCAGAAAGTTCTGTATTTTCTTTAAATATAGTTCACATGTAGATTTAAGTATCTTTCGTCTTATGCAAATGTTCATTAATGCGTTTACATTTCATAATATTTGGACATCTTCATTCTGGCATTTTCTTACTCCAGTACTTTCTGTTTTCTGCAAGTTAATCTATGTAAATTGAAGTTTACATCAGTCTTATATAGGCACATAAGATATGAGAGAGAAAGATTTAGCCCCAGAAGCCACTCTCCAGACACCCTGCCAGGAACCACTGGTCACTGCCAGCACCTAACTTCCTGTTGCTGAGCTCATCTGTCCCAGTTCGCCTCCTTTTGGTTGAGGACATGAACATGCCATGCCTGGAGCTTTCTCTGCCCCACTGCTGTATCCATATACTCTGAAACTTCTCTCCAGGTAAGAAGTCACAGCACCTTGCCAGTTGTTTCTGTAGAGGCTTATGCTCATCTGTACTGAGGAGTTTCGCTCATATACAAATATATGATGTTGAGGAAGGGCACTTTTTCAGATCAGCCAGGTTTTCACAGATATGGCCCTCTACGTGAGTACGGGCTCCCAATCCAGAGGGAGGAACATGAGCATCTCACTCAGCACAGAAAGGGCGTGTGCTGGATGGGGAGCCATGGGGTCCCTGTGGCTGACATCCGTAGGCCATGTGGATGTCATATGAGTTCAAGTTCAAAGCATATCTTTAAAAGACAGTTTTAAATTTCAAAACATGTTTCTGCTGAGGGAAAAAACGTATAATCATAGCAGTCTAAAGAGGAGACTCTCTGAGCCAAATGACAGTGCAAGCTGTTTCATCTTCCCTCTGTCCTCTCTCTACCTACCTTGAACCCACCCTTCCTGGCTCCCTAGCTAGGTGTCCTCTGGTTGTGGCACCATGAAGGAGCTCGTCCTGTGGTCAGTGCAGTGAAAGCACAGGACCACATTCAATTCTGGGATTCTTGCTGACCTAGCCCATAGGCGATGGCAGGCAGAGAGCCTCAGGGTGGCTATCTATTTCAAAGCCAAGTCTTCCCAGAATCAAGAACAGTAGTTTCCTATGGGCAAAGGGGCTTATCTGCAACAAGTAGCTACATTTTAATTGGCAACTGTGTAAGCTATTTTGAAAGTGCATTTCACCTCCAACATCAGCTGGGTGAATTCTTCATTACTGAGGAATGAAGGCTTCCAGTCTTGCTGAATGTCACAGATTTCCGTTTGCGCAGAGACTTCTAAAAAAGAGACACAAATAAGTCTTTATATTCAATGGCACCTAGAAATTGGAATTAACAAATGAAGCACATGTTACTTCTATGTAATTTTGTGTAAACTTCTGTGTAGTTTAATTTAAGAAGCCAGTATAAGGAAATATGTTACCCTGATTTCCAAGGACTGGGAGCTTTGGATGTCATAGGCTCTTGATGTTCTCACCTCCCTTAATGAGGCTTTAGGGAGTAGCATCCCCCACCTTCTCTATGGTTGTGGTGCCTGCCCTTGCGGGTGGTACCATGCCCCTGAATGTCTACATGACGAACTCCATCATCAACAGTTGGAATTAGGTAGTTGCCACCTATGAAGACAACAGGAACAAAGACTGGGATGGTGGGACATTTTCATAAGTAGCTTCTTCATGGTCCAGGTGAAGCAAAACACTTCAGAGACCTGGGATTTTCAAAATTCCAGAAACATCTTCGGCTTGTGGAAAATAACCCACTGTGTTATACAGAATGAACCATATTTTTCAGCACTTCCGTTACTGAAGTATAGTGTGCTATACAAATACATAAAATATATTCCTCTCAAAACTCTTTCGGGTTAATCTATAGTTTATCCATTTCATGTAACTGCCCTGTTCTGAAGACATTAATTATGTGCATTTGTAAATTCAAATAGTCATTGGCCTATAAGGGGCTGTTTAAATATTTTAGTTCTTCTGCATTTTTAAAGAATGTTTTGTTCTATTATTAAATTATTTCTGAATTACAGGTAGCTCAAATGCAATATCAAATACGTGTGTTTTTCCTTCAGGTAATCCTCCATCTTAAACCAACATTTTGCTGCATTTCATGTGGAAAGAGATTTCTTTAGGTATTATTTTCTTGGTGCTAGGAAAAATGTAAGATCATAAGACTCATATCTCAGATAATAAAACTAACCTGTTTAACAACTTCCTGGAGAATGCAAATGGTCCAGGCAGATAATCCATCAACTTTAAGCCAGGAGAAAGATTTCAAGCCTCTCTCCTTTGTGCCTGTGTTTTTGATAATCTCTCTTACATGGAGCACGAGGAATGCATTCTGCCATTGAATGAATGAATCTGAGTGAATGCAGCAGCTACTCATGAACAAAGGATGTAAAGAGCTGAGTTATGCATGTGACCCTGTAAACCTTCACTTGTTCCAAAACCCAGTGTTCCTGGCAGTGCTTGGCTCCACCAGGAAGGTTCCTTCCTTCGAGATGTCAGAAAGAACAAGTTGCTGCTCCTGTTCTACAAAATTGGATTTTTGTCTTTGTGATTTTCAAGGGGCACAAAAGAGCTGCTACGAGCCTTTGGTGATTGAAAACTGGAAGAAACCCAGGAGAGGAATCTGTGCTGGTGGCTGGTCCGCCAACGACACTGAGAGGGCCCCTGAGGGAGGGCCCGGCTGTGGGGACAAGCCCAGTGCCGGGCGTCATAGGCACATGGTGATATGCAGCATGGGAAGCAGAGGCAGGTGCCACACACACATCTTGGCCAGAATCCATTCGGTGGTGCTGGCTGAGGCGAGGAAGAGAGACTGCAACTGGCAGTTCTTCACAGTTGCCACAGTTTGACCACTTAGAAAGGAGAGGGACTGAGGATGTGCTACAGTATTAACGCCATGAAAGCCTTTCCTCTTCTTGCTAATATGCACACGCATCTATAAGACTCTTTTGACCACTAGGATCAAACTGTAGATCAACTGTTTGTCTAGCAGAGTAGTCTTTATGGAAGCTGAAATTTCACTGAGGTAGAGATCCATTCAACTTAACAGTGAAGGAAAAATGAAAGACCCATTTCTTTTAACAGTGATTTTTAGATCATTCTGTATGACTGGGTATTTTGTTGACACTAGCATAATAATACTGAAAGCAGCCATCTCATTCACTTTGTATTTCAACAACTCAATTAGACTCCTTGGAAGTTAAGGTTCAGTTAATAGAATATTTAAAAAATACGTTAGATACAACGTCTCAAATAGAGAAAAAAAAATGTTCCCCTGGGAAATAAAATTCAGTGTTATGGTCAAAGTGGTTTCTAAATTTCAAGGGGAACAAAACCACCTGGGAGCCATTTTTGTAGGAAAACATTGTGATGAAGAGCCAATCCCCAAAATTCTACTCCGGTATCACGTGTAGCCACTTCCTGGAGTGCTCAACTCTGGATTGCTCCTGGTATGTCTGAATAATAAGCAGTATTTCTTTGGGATGTATGTGGTCAAATAAAAGTCTGGAAAATGGAGCAGGAATACCACAGCTGTCCTGGGTAAATATTACCCTGTCGAATAGGGAAATTTCTCCTTGTTCTACAGCTCTACCCACCTTATCTTCCATCTATGAAGACAGACACATTGACGAGGTGTGAATGAGGAATGGGATTTAATGTCAGGAGAAAATTTCATTAAGTCAGCTTGAGACTCACTCAGGAAGAAGATGATGTGTAGGCCAGCCTAACTCTGTAGAACTAACATTTAGGGCCGGGCACAGTGGCTCACACTTGTAATCCCAGCACTTTGGGAGGCCAAGGTGGTGGATTGCCTGAGGTCAGGAGTTTGAGACCAGCCTGGCCAACACTGGGAAACCCCTGTCTCTACTAAAAACACAGAATTAGCTGGGTGTGGTGGCTGGCACCTGTAATCCCAGCTACTTGGGAGGCTGAGGTAGGAGAATCATTTGAACCTGGGAGGAAGAGTTTGCAGTGAGCTGAAATTATGCCACTGCACTCCAGCCTGGGTAACAAGAGCGAGGCTTCATCTCAAAAATAAATAAATAAATAAATAAAATAAAAAGAACATTTAGATGGATGTGGATAAGAATGTTCAATTTGCCAGGCACAGTGGCTTCACGCCTGTAATACCAGCACTTTGGGAGGCAGAGGCGGGTGGATCACGAAGTCAAGAGATCGAGACCATCCTGGTCAACATGGTGAAACCCCGTCTCTACTAAAAATACAAAAAATTAGCTGGGCATGGTGGTGCGTGCCTGTAATCCCAGCTACTCAGGAGGCTGAGGCAGGAGAATTGCGGGAACCCAGGAGGTGGAAGTTGCGGTGAGCCGAGATCGCGCCATTGCACTCCAGCCTGGGTAACAAAAGTGAAACTCCATGTCAAAAAAAAAAAAAAGAATGTCCAATTTGTCCTGCTATTTACATACTTTAGGGATTTCTCTCTTATAATAGCTACTATTACAAAATTTTGCTACAAAGAAACATGATCAGATTCCCATGTTGATTTGGATTACTTCAGAGAGAGTAAGTGTACAGTCCAGGATTAAAGTTTATTTCCCAGGCTGAGAAAATAATGCTGAAAGATTATTAGGGAAAGAGCCGAATAATTATAACTGCTTGGACCTAATCATCTTTTCTACTTATCATGTGGTCCCTCTTTAGCATTAAGGCAGGAAGTATGTTGAAATTCATAGTTCTTAACCCTCACTGCACACCGGAATCACCTGGGGAGCTTTAAAAATGCTGATGCCTGGGCCTTCCCTAGCCATCTGCTGGTGAAAGGCTCTCCTCCCTCTACAACAAATAGCCCCGATTTGCAGTGTTTGCCCCTTTTTGTAAACACTCCTACCATGGCTGATCTCAAGCTACCAACTTCATGTCAACTGGCTTGCAAAACTCCTGAAAATTGAACAGTCTTTCCTGGCAAGCTGGTATACCATTGCGGTCCCACCCCTAGAGATTGTGTCATATTGGTCTGTTGGGGGGTTACCTGGTAACATGTATTTTTCAGAAGCTCTTCAGGTGATTCAAATTCACAGACAATGCTGAGAACCAGTAGTCTAAATGGACACACTCATGAACTGCTGTAGTGCAGCTGTGACATAAATATCCACAAGAGCCCTGTGGATCACCTCTTGTAAAGGAGCCATGGAGTATAGTGCTAAAAACTTGGGGTCTTGAGACAGGCTGCTGTCTGTTTGGAGCCTGCATTTTCCTGGCTGTCTGACCTGGATGAGGGAGTGACTTGACCTTGTGTACCTCATCTGTGCGATGGAACTAACTCAAAGTGCTGCCATAGGCTGGGTGAGGTGGCTGAGGCCTGTGATCCCAGCACTTTGGGAGGCCAAGGCGGGAGGATTACTTGAGGCCAGGAGTTTGAGACCAGTCTGGCCAAAGTGGCAAAACCCGGTCTCTACTAAAAATACAAAAATCAGCAGAGTGTGGTGGCACACGCCTTAATCCCAGCTACTCGGGAAGCTAAGACAGGAAAATTGCTTGAACCTGGGAGGTGGAGGTGGCAGTGAGCCGAAATTCTACCACTGCACTCCAACATGGGTGACAGAGTGAGATTCTGTCTCCAAAAAAAAGTGCTGCCATGAAGAGGAGCTCTATGTAGAGGCGTTCTTGTACACAAAACCTTCAGAACACTGTCCAGCTCATAGCAAGCCCTGAGTCAATGCCAATGGCCAGTGTTCTCTGTTGCAGATACCTGCAGAGTCCATGTCCATTTGGATTGCAAGTAAAGGAAAGTGGTTGCTTCACTTTATGCTTTAGTCCAAGTTTTGGTCCAACAACTCTATTTCTCCAAAAAACATACCATGAATTCTCTGCTTTCTTTTCAATAGGAAATCACAGAGAGGAGTGAGATTCTGGCACGATCCTGAGTGTGTCTAAGCGGGTTGTGCAGAGTAGGCCTTCGTCTTATGAAGAAGTCGAGCTGAAGCAGGCTCTCCTGGCGTTTGGAGGCTGCATTTCTACTGACTGATCCTTTCCAGGGCCCAGATTTGACAATTCTGTAATTCCACAGTGGACAGAGCCTGGCATAAATGTCAGGCTGATGAACTTGATCCCAGCTGTCCTATTTAACAGCTGTCCTGCTTCTCAGTGGCACTGACCTAGTTTGAATAATTTGTACGAAATATCTTGGCAATCAAACCAACCTGCTATTTCACTTGGCTAAATCATTATTTAGGAAATATAACCATTTTGATTAAATTATCAGGGCAATCAAATACTGCAGTAACACTTCATTCCAATCCTGCTTGATTGGGCTTCCCTGACTTTTTTTTTTTTTTTGAGACAGAGTTTCACTCATGTTACCCAGGCAGGAGTGCAATGGCGCGATCTCGGCTCACTGCAACCTCCGCCTCCTGGGTTCAGGCAATTCTCCTGCCTCAGCCTCCTGAGTAGCTGGGATTACAGGCACGTCCCACCATGCCCAGCTAATTTCCCTGACTTTTAACAAAAGCAATCAACATGTTCTTTACTCTCTCCTGGGCAGCCGTGGGTAAAAAAATGAGGATATATCATTACTGTCATATTGTTAATAGGTATATATGATAATCAAATAAATAATAAAAGAATAAGAAGTATAATAAAACTTTCTGATGTCCCAGCCGTGTCCTCTTTTATGAAATCATCTTGTCTAGGAAAATGTTCAGTGGAAGAGGCACATCACTGCATGCACAGAAGAACTGTAATTATTTCCTCACTAATTCTGACATTTCTGACTTATTACGTATGGTGTCATGATTAAAGAAAAAATAATTCTGCCCTTCCTGCTTGCTAATAGGTTTTGAGCCCTCTTAACTATTCTTTGACTTTTTGTAACATCCTGGGTGACTGGCAGGGTAGGTGTAATCAGCGCTAACAGGTAAAAGGGTTTGCAGGAGAGGAAAAGGGAGAGAGAATGATTTGAGAAAGACCTGAGTTCAAGGATGGGTTCAAGTGGCACATGCAGGTGATCATGTGATGGAATACTATATACGAATGAAAGGGAGCTAGCAATAGCACTGGAAGAATGGGAGGAATCACATAAACATCATATGCTAATTCATGGTTCCATCTGAGTAAGTTCCCAACAGGCAAAACCAACCTATGGGGTTAGAAGTCAGCACAGAGGGTCCTTCTTTTGGGAAAGCAGAGGAAGACAGGAAGGGACTTCTATTTCTTGACTTGGGTCATTGGTTCCCTGGCTGTGTCTGCTTTGTGATAATTAATTCAACTGTACAGTTATAATTTATATATTCTCTGTATGTGTTACTTTTATAATGTATGACAAAGATAGAAAAAAAATGGAGTGCCAGGATAACTGGAAATCCACATGCAAAAGGATGAATTTTCACTGCCTACCTTACGACATCTACAAAAATGAACATAAAATGGACCAAATGTCTATGCTTGACCTACAGTTTAAAATTATAAACCTCTTAGAAGAAAACAAAGATATCACTCTTCATTACTTTAGATCAGGCAATGGTTTCTTAGATAGAATGCCTCAAGCACAAGCAATCAAAATAAAAATATAAATTGGACATTAACTGATTAAACCTTAAAACCTCTGTGTGTCAAAGAATATCACCTGAAAAGTAAAAAGACAATCCACAGAATGGGGGAAGATATTTTCAAATTCTACACCAGTTAAGGGTCTAGTATCCAGAATGTATGGAGGACTCTTATCACTCAAGAATAAAAAGATAAATAATTTAAAAATGGGCCATGGATTTGGACATTTCTCCAAAGAAGATATGCAAATGGCCAATAAGTACAGGAAAAGGTCATGAAAAGGAAAACATCATTAGTCATCAGGGAAATGCAAATCGAAGTCATATGAGACATCGCTTCATACTCACTAGGGAGATGATATTAATAATAGTCATAATAAAAAAAAATAACAAGTATTGGCAAGGATGTGGAGAAACTGGAACCCTCATACATTGCTGCTGGAATGTAACTTGGTACAAGCCACCTTGGAAAACAGTTTGGCACTTCCTCAAAAAGTTAAACACTACCATTTAATGCAGCAATTCCTCTCCTAGAAATACAAACAAGAGAAGTGAAAACATGTATCAACTCAAAAATGTGTATATGAATGTTCACAGCAGCATCATTCTTAACATCTAAAAATTGCAAACAACCCAAATATCCAACAACTGATGAAAGGATAATCAAAATATGGTATTAATATTAACATATCCATACAATGGAATATTGTTGGTCCGTAAAATGGAACAAAGTACTCGCACATGCTAAAACACAGATGCTAAGTGAAAGAAGCCAGATACAAAAGGCCACATATCGTATGATTCTATTTGTATAAAATGCCTACAATAGGGGAGTTCACAGAGACAGAAAATACATTAGTGCTTGCCAGGACCTGGAGGGAGGAGGAAGAATGAGAAATGATCGCTAATGGATACAGGGTTTCTTTTTTGGCATGATGAAATTAGATAGTGGTGATGGTTACATCACCTCGTGAATATTCTAAAGGCCACTGCAGTCTATACTTTAAAATGTTGAATTTTATGGTATGGAAATTATATCTCAATAAAAACACAATGAATGTGACATTAAGAAAATAAATTCTTTTCAATGTATTTTTTCATGATGTAGCTCAAAAGACCAAAGAGTTTGGCGCAGTGGCAGAGAGGGAGGAAAAGGCCCAAACAGTATGATCCCACAGGAAGGAAGTACTTGGCCACTGCGTCTGTTCGGCATTGAATAAAAGACACTTGCTCCAGGGAGTTTTGATCAAGACCTTGTCACTGTGAATGCCACGCTGCTTCGGCTAGGCGCTACCTGTGAGGTTGTTCTAGATTCTCTCGTCTGGCTTACAATGCAATTGAGAAGTGTGTGTCCTCTCCCTACCTAGCCAGAGATGGGCTGATAGAGGGTCGAGTGCCTTTGAAAGGGAAAGCCCTCAATTGGTAAGGCTGGGCCTGGCTGGGGAGGAAGCCCAGACTGGTAAAGTCATCACCACATGGACAGGGCAGGGCAGAAGAAAAACAGAGAGAAGGGTGACCTTTACCATTGTGTTTCTGCAAAAATCCGATGACCTTTTCCAACACGGTGGTTTTGTCCATTTTCCGTGTGTTGCCAGGGAGCATGGAGCTGAGCTCTTTGATGAGAACATTGAACTGGTCCCGACGCTTCTTCTCAGACTTGTTTCGAGAAGCTCTGTAAACACAAAATGAGCAGGTTACTGGAAAATTCCACGTCACAAAGGCTTTGTTATGAAACAGAAGCACTTTCTATTAGAGCACATTCTATTGTGATCATCTATCTTATCAAAAAACTCTCTCAGGAAGGTCACGCTGGCGACATTTCTAGGGAAGGGTGATAGAAAATGCTTTGCTAGACTCTTGGCCACAAAGACAGACAGCAGTAACAACCAGTAAGTTCTGACTCGGACTCAAGATCTTACACAGATAAGCTCTGAGGCCGATGCTGCTCATTCGGACTTCATGAAGCTGTAGCTTTCAGAGAGCAAAGGACATGTTGTGGACTGAGATGGCCGTGCTGGGAGAGCCCTTCCTAAGACTCAAACCATGTCCCCTCCAATCGAGATCACCCAGGCTGGTTCCAGGGCCACAGGCGGGCCAGGTGTCTCGTATGCCACCAGGGCATATGTCCTGGCCTCTGCTCCAAAGAGCTCATCGCCCTGTTGGGGGAGGCAAGACACGTCCTGCCCACAACAGCCAGGGCGGATGCATGATGGGTACTGCACATGGCTGTCAAGCTGCTGAGAGCAGCTGAACCGTTTTTAAAATGACATGGAGGAAACTTAAATGCATATTACTAAGTTACAGAAGCCAGTCTGAAAAAGCTGAACACTGTATGAGAGCAAGAATATGACATCCTGGAAAATGAAAAACTACAGAGACAGCACAAAGATTGGTGGTTGCCAGGGGTTAGGGAGGGATGAACAGCTGGAGCACCGGGGATTTGTAGGGCAGTGAGGCCACTCTGTATGATACCATAATGGTGGATGTGTGTCATCACACTTTGTCTAGACTTGGAGAATGTACAACCCTAGGAGTGTGCCCTGATGTTAACTCTGGACTCTGGGTGGTAACAATATATCAAGCTCATCAGCTATAACTAATCACCACTCTTGTGGGGGATGGTGATAATGGGGGAGGCTGAGTATGTCTAGGGAGGGCCCAGTGGATATGAGAACACTGTATCTTTCACTCAATTCGTCTGTGAGCCTAAAACTGCTCCAAAAAATAGTATATTTTCAATAAGTAACACCCTACACTGCACACCTATAGGAGACATCAAAGCAAAGTTGCTTGGTTTGAAGGGAGGGGCCTTCCCCCACCCCTCCCCCACACCCCCACCACCCAAACACCTCTGAGGACCTGAGATCCTCGGGAACTTGAGTAGGGAATTGTGGCTCTCAGCGCTGCTGTAATTAACAACCAACAAGGAACACGTGATGCACAAAGCCCTCCTGAGAAGCCCAGAAGCAGCGCTGCTTGAGGGGTCTCCATATTCAATGACATGCCACAGGTCCTTCATCAACAATCCACGTATTTGAAGGTGATCCAGGGCTGAGACAGCTGGCTCGCTCCTCCCCAATTTACTGAAGACTTATGCCAGAAGTCAGCTCTCTGAGAGAGAACAGGGGCCCCAGAGGCCAGGCCCATAAAACACTGCTGGCTTGTCCAGGCACCCGGGGCCGGCGGTCATGGTTCCCAGGGGAGCAAATCATTTAAGAGGAGGCTCCTGGCCAATGTGTGGTCAGGACAGAGCATGCTGCTGGATTCTGATTCACTTCCCTTAGAGCAGGTATCAGTATCTATAGGTAACAGTATCAATAAAGACCCTGCTTCCCTAGACAGTCCTAGGACACAAAAGAACACATTTCCAAAACCCTTTCCCTAGACTCCATGAGGACAGCAACCACTGGATCGCCTCTGCCTAACTGCACACAACCTCTCTTTATTCCAACACGCATGTTCACACCCGTCTCATACCCGTCCTATCTCAGTTTGGGCTGTTTCCTGATAACATCTGGGCTATTCTTTAAAGCTCAGCTAACGTGGGTGGTCACTGCCCTTTACCTAGGGGTCTCTTCCTGCCTCTCCCCTCCTCCGTCTGTTATTGGATTTTGGATTAAGGGATTTGTACAAAGGCCCTGGCCCTCAACGAGACGCCCCCTTTACCTGAGCTCTCCCTCATCACACACTAGCTGCAGGCGTGGCGGCAAGATGTTGAGGAGTCTTGTTACTAGTCCAGGCTAAAAGGCACCATGTTCAAACACACAGGAGGGAAGAAAGGAACCCTTTAACTTTCTGAGTGAGTGCCTATGCATTATAAATAATTTTTTGGCCTAGATTTTAAAGAGTGACATGCAACCTCCTTAGCCAAAAAAAGCTCTGTTCCTGTCCTAGTTTGCCCATTATAAATTATTTGTGAGCCAATAACACCCAGCTCATTACTGCTCTGTTCTCTTCTTCAATGGGTGTAATGACGACCAACATGGCCTGGCAGCAATTGCGATGAAGGATCCTATCGTTAGTGACAGAAACACAAGCTCGTTTCCAACCGCCTCCGGCTGGGATGCACTGTGGTGCCCACTGGAAACTGGTCGGTGTCAGATGGTTCTGCTGCTCTCAGGCAAGAGAAAGAAAACCAGCCTGGAATGACCTTTCCAAAAAGAAGGTCCTCTCAGCAGGCCCTGAGACCACCACACACAGGCACTGGGACAGCAGGTTTTGAAAGACACCCCAACAGTCAGACTTTGAGGGTTTTTTTGTTTTTTTGAGATAGTCTCACTCTGTCACCCAGGCTGGAGGGCAGTGCCATGATTTCGGTTCACTGCAACTTCTGCCTCCCAGGTTCAAGCAATTCTCCTGCCTCAGCCTCTCCAGTAGCTGGGATTACAGGTGCCCGCCACCATGCCTGGATCATTTTTGTATTTTTAGTAGAGACGGGGCTTTACCATGTTGACCAGGCTGGTCTCAAGCTCCTGGCCTCAGGTGATCCACCAGCCTCAGCCTCCAAAAATGCTGGGATTACAGGCATGAGCCACCACGCCTGCCCAGGCTTTGGGGTTTTAAGGTATTTTTTTAACATTCAATAAAATTCATCCATTTTAAGTGCATAGTTTGGTGTATTAATTGGGTAACTACCACCAAAATCAAGATACACAACAGTTCCTTCATTTTAAAGAGGTTTCTCTTGTGTCTTTGTGATTGATCATCCACAGGCAACCACTGATCTGCTGTTAGTATAGTTTCACCTGGTCTAGAATTTGACAGTCCTGGAATCAGAGTATACAGCATTTGACTTTCGTTTAGCATGACATTTTTGAGATGCCTCCATGTTGCTGCACATATTAACATCCTATTCTCTTTTCCTGCTGACTAGTATTCCTGTGTATGAACATGTCACAACATTCGGTTCATTTCCAGTTCAGGGGTAATAAGAATAACGCTGTTCTGAATATTCATGTACAGATCTTTGGGTAGAAAGAGGCATTCATTTCTCCTGGGTGAATACAGAGGCTTGGAATTGCTGGGTCATCTGTTATGTGTACGTTTAACCTGATAAGACACAGCTGCACTGTCCTATAAAGCTGGCTACACTTTTTGCTTTTCTACCAGCAATATATGAAAGTTCCAGATGTTGCAATCCCTGCCAACGTTTGCCAATGCTTGGTGTTGTAAGACTTTTTTTTTTTTTTTTTTTTTTTTT